GGGTGTGATTCGCGAATAGACCATGCAGGTACATTGATCCGATGTGTGTTTTATGACTCCAATCTCCCACTGTCTAGTACCACAAAACGACCCATTTCTACCCTCAGCACACGGCTATGTTCGCAAGCCGAGAATGTGATCTTTTGGCAGATTTTACAGACTGGGAAATCATTCATTAAGATCGCTTTACTGAAAGATGATCGCCAACGTGGTTATGGACAGGGAATGAACCGCATCATTTATACGGAGAACTCGCAAAGGGACGAGTATGTGTATCATCTGCGCTTAGAACTACGTAGTTTCAATGAATATCCAATCAATTCTTCCCTCGTGGCAAGCTCCATAGGAGAAATTCAGTTCTTTCGGTTCAGAAGAGCGTACCAGCGTACCAAAAATATTTGCCATCCTAGAAACTGTCCTGTTCGTTGCCGCAGTCAAAAGGCCCTGATTGATGGTGACAGGGCTCTGGAACCAGCTCTATCAGGTAATGCGTCATTTTATTTTGGAGACCAAACGCCTTCGTACCAGTTGTCGAGTTCGCAAACACATTGCGTGGGGTCTTAGATGGACTTGTCAAGCCCTCTCGCCCACTCGAACATACGGCCCGTTTGACTTCGGCAGATTGCGAGAGTAATACATAGCAATATGCAGAATTGCCGAGGAAAGCGAAGTAACTCGACCTGATGATGGCTGTCGATTACTCCTAGTAGACCATTTCACGGTCTCAGGACGAGCGCTATGTTGGACCATACTTTTCCGCCTCTCATCATGCGGGTATCGTCTGATTCATAACCCGGAGGCATTGAGTCGTTGCAGTCGACCTGAGCTGGCCTTTGACTCCTCTTTGGCTATGAAGACCATCCACATGCGAATTTATTCTGTTCCAAGCACAGTTATCGCAGAGCCTGCCTTGAGCATCTCACGACTTCATCCTGTTCATGGACGAAGCAAAAAAGGGACTATCGTAAGGACGTACGAAATTCCTGCGAAACCCAACTCATGGAAACTCTTGTTATCTGTGTCCTTTAAAGCATCAAACTTGAGGATAAAGATCCCCGCAGACCCGCACGTGCCAAGAAGCGGGCCGACTTTATGCCGTCATCCATGCGCTGTTTTGTTTGTTTGTCTGGTCGGATACATGGTTACGGGATCGCCTTGCAGACGCAGATAACTTCAGCATCCAATGCAAACTGAAGGAGTACTACTTGCTTTGCTACTGATTGAAATTCTGAAGTAGAGTCTACAAAGGATACCTAGCATTATTGAAAATCGTCTAGGTCGGAAATTCACAAAGATATCATATCATGGTGTGCTGCTTCCCCTCACCGCAACAGCTGATAGCCAGATCATATCAGGCTGACCAAGACTACTGCAGGGCTCAAATACACCCTTCCGGCCATCGCCCTTATCGTTTGGGTCTCCTCGAGCTTCTCCCTTTCGTCGTCCATCTACACCCAACTCGCCGCCCACACAGATCCGGCCCAGCACACCAGGAACGGCAGGAAGCTCTCCGGGGCGAGGATATACTCCAGTCCAGTCACCAAGCAAGTTAAACCAGACATATACAGTCGCAGACGATGATGGCTCCTCTCCGAAGAGCAGTAGCCCAATCCCACAACCCAAATTCACCAGGGAGTTTCCGTCCTCGCCAACCAAGGGAGCAGACGCCCTCGATGATTCCTCCTCCATCATGGAAGCAAAGACTGCCAGCATGATGGCTGCTTCGAGCGATGCCGCTGCCAAATTGGCTCCGACGCAGTTGAGGGAAATTCGCGAGGCATTTCAAGTCCTTGACAGAGACAACGATGGGTCCGTGAACAAAGACGATGTAGCTGATGTACTTGTGAATATCGGTAGGACCATTGCATTCTCTGTATTTCAAAGAGGTTGCACTAACCCGTGTTATAATTCAGGCCAGGATGCCTCGATAATTTCGCAATTCTTCCCTCCAGGAAGCGACCAGACGATCAATTTCCCTACATTTCTGAATATCTTATCTAGTCTACTTGCGCCTCTTTCTTCTCGCCAGGAACTGATGAATGCCTTGGCTGCTTTTGACGACGATGATAGCGGACAAATTGACGCTGCAGAGCTACGCGATACCCTCTTACACACAGCATCGGAGGATGGGAAGTCACCGCTGACGGAGAAGGATATCAACGAGGTATTGAGTGGATTCACCGGACGCAGAGTGTTTGGTGGGAAAGCCGGGAAACTGTCTGGAGGAGGGAAAAGAGGAGAGGTATTTCGCTATCAGGAGTTTGTTGATAGCGCTATAGGAGGATCAGAAAGTGGGCGCCGTGATCCTGATACCGTCAAAAGATAGAACTTATTAGTCGCTGCGATTTTGGATACGGCGTTTTGGAGAGGCGGCGAGCTTGTGTTTGACATATGAGATGTATACTGTATACTTAATTCTCGGCTCTGGAAGCTGTGCAACGACGTATATTCTCGCTGATTGCATCCAAACAGAAGTATCCTACCTCCCTAAGTTATTCAAGACATCCATTGGTTGCTCCTACACATGAACGTTTCTGTTGGCGGGCCGACGGGGTATTTACGAAGACCCAACATGATCCATCACAACCACGATCTGTTACCTCTTTTTCTTCCTAAGAGATATCTGGAAAATAAATAAAGAAGAAGTTGTCTCCAGGTTGAGACATCAATAATTTATTTGTGGCGCGTCGCGTGTCCCCGCATTCCTCGATCGGGTAAAAGCCCGCCATGCCCAGAGATGCATACTGGGTGCGGATCGTCCGAACTTGCATCTAACTACGTTTCTTATCCCCGGATACACTACTAGATTCTCGGCACTAACAACTGCTTATTTCTTTCTTCTCATCCTTTCTTGGCTGCTGTCCTCGTCGCCAGGAAGATGGTCACTTCGTGCGATCGTTTCAGCAGAGATCGTTTGCGCTAAAACAAAAAACAAACCCCCTGTTCCATAGTCATACAGGACCAGCCATGTCCCATCCAACACAAGCCCAGCTGAATCTAGCCGCTCTTGCGGGCTCTTCTTCGCCCCGGACGATGCGAACTTTGCGGAAGATACAGTCGCATCAGATCCTTTCGTCAAATCCTTCTGTGGTTAGCGGTCCGACATCACGTCTTTCCACTGCGCGGTCGTCCGCCAACGCCGAGGAGCTGGCGCAACAGGCACAATTGGATTCCCCTGTTCGGCTGCGACACCGCCGGGCTAGGTCGAATAGTGACGCCGGCTCTGGTGAGCGACCCATCTTACAGACTCAGAAACGATCGGGGAGGAAGACAGGCTCGGGGTTTGGGATCAAGAGATCTGTCTTGGAGACGCTGCTACGGGATGGGCCGCAGAATGGGGATGTCGAGGATGCACTGAAGGAATTGAGATACCTTGTCTTGTCGACAAGGGTGGAAGCGGATGGTGATGGCATGGTATGTGGATATTTGCAACAGCGCCGTGACCTCTAGGCGGAGGATGATCCTGCCATGCTAACATCTATGTTCTAGTCGACATATCGCGTTTACCTATGGCTCACACTACTCGATATTCCTCCCCTACCAACCGATGAATACCTCTCGCTCATACATCGCGGGCGTTCACCGGCTTATACGAAGATCCGCAACGACACATTCCGCACCTTAGCAACCGACCCCTTGTTCAAGCGACGCGTCACCGAAGCCAGCCTGATCCGACTGCTCAACGCCACAGCATGGAAGATTCACGATGCGAAGGCCAAAAAGCGACCGAAATCGCGCCTATCGACCTCCCGCAGGCGGGAAATGGAACTTTTGATCAACACACCACCGAGCATCGCAGAAGAGGAGCCTACAGACGACCATGCCAACCGCCTCACGGCAACACCCAGCAGCGAAGCCATCACCAGCGAGTCAGCAATCTACGTGCAGGGAATGAACGTTCTCTGTGCGCCCTTTCTCTACGTAGCGCGCAGCGAAGTCGAGGCTTTTGCGCTGTTTCACTATTTCATTACCAGCGAATGCCCAGGGTATATCCGCGGCGCCATGGACGGCGTCCACCGGGGTCTGCGGCTGGTCGATCGATGCCTCGAGATCATCGAGCCGAAGCTCGCCGCCTATCTCTTCTCCAAGGGAATGCAAGCGGAGCTCTACGCCTTCCCATCTGTGTTAACACTGTGCGCCTGCACGCCGCCACTGCCCGAGGTGCTCCACCTGTGGGATTTCCTCTTTGCGTACGGCCCACACCTGAATATTCTATGCATCGTTGCGCAGCTGATCCGGATGAGAGATACCATTCTCGAGAGTCCAAGGTATGTTTTCTTTTCCCGCAATATCAACAAGTCACATCACATTGCTATGCATGGACGAGTCGATTCTGACCAATCACACAGCCCAAACAAGATCCTCCGGTCCTTCCCGCCGCTCGACGCAAAGGAGATCATTGCCCTGACCGTCCTCATTGTCCGGAAGATTCCTGATGCTCTCTATGCGGAGTTGATCGATCATGCTAAATAGGCCTGTTGGTCGTATCGCCCATGTAACGTACCAGGTAACATGTATTATCTACAGCTTGCATATTGGCCTTTCTTTTCTTTTTCACCCCAATTGGGTTATGTTATGTTTTCTTGTGGCTACCCGAGGGCTTCTGCTTGCGCTTGCCATACCACACTGGACGGTTACTGGTATACTGAATGAATAATGAGGCAAGGAAAAGAGACGCAGAGATGCATTGAAATGGAACGGGACGAAATGCATGTATTGTTAGATCAGAATGATTGATGAATGATGACGTTACTGTTAATTAGTCTAGGCAATGAACTTTTGACATTCGCAGATGCGACGTCCACCTCCTCTCCTCTATGTGTTCTCCCTGACCTGACGCCGAGCAACAGTTGCATGATGAATACTTCAAATCGAAAGCAATGATGCAGAAATCAGACCCCACCCAACCCAATTCAACTCAACAAGACAAGGAAAGAAAAGCAAGTATACATACACTCAAACACCCAGATGCTATGCATAAGCAGCAGGGAGGGATAGGATCAAATCGCCAGCGCCGTCTTGCTTCCCAGACCGGACCCATTCACCACAAGCGGCTGGCATCTATCCCTTTCGGTCTCTCTCTCCCTCTCCGGCCCACTGTTCCTATCCACCGTCCTCGGACCCGGCGTAGGGGTCATATCAACCTGATCCGTCGTCTTCTCAGGGGGATTAAGTCTATTCGCGAGATAGTACCCTTCCCGCTCAGCATAACCCTGGCCCGAAGAAAAATACCCACTCCGATCAATCTTCACCCTGATCTTCGCGCCAAGAAAAAATGCCGTGTTGTACAGGGCGATGGCGCGCTTGGCCTCGTCGGCGGAGCGGAGGGTGACGCGCGCGAAGCCCTTGCAGCGGCCTGTGTCTGGGTTCAGGGGCATCTCGCACTGCTCGATGGTGCCTGCGTCTTGGAGGAAGAGGGTCAGGTCGTGGGGGGTGGTTGTCGGGCTGAGGTTCTGGATGAAGATGGTGCGGCGGGGGGTGAAGCGGGGGTTGGTTTGGGGGTGGGTCTGTTCGCTGCTTGGAGGTTTGCGCGGGTAGAAGGTGGTTCTTGGTCGGGGGGTGGTGTTGTTGTTGTTGTTGTTGTTGTTGGTGGTGGTGGTGTTGCTGTTGATGAAAGGATGTTCGGGGTGAGGGTGTAGCGGGGGAATAGGGTATGTGGGGATCATGGCGAAGGCGAGATTGTCGCAGAAGGAGTGGCTCAGGGATGGCGAGTGTGGGATACTCGGTAGTTGGTCGGTGAAGACGGGGACAAAGGGCTGGAGATAGGCAGGAGGAGGAGGAGGAGGGGGCATGGCCATCGGGTTGATGACCTGTGCATACTCTGGGCCCTGGCCCTGGTAAGCTGGGGCCGGGGCTGGAGCCATTGAGACAAGAGGGGTGCTGCTCTCGTTAGCTGGATTACATCGAATATAAAGGAAGGGGGAACGCACTCTGGGGAGATGGGTGAAGGAGGAATGGCCAAGTTCTGCGCGACTCGAGGGGGAGTCGAATAGCCTGCAACGTATGACGGGGGAATCACACAGCTAGGGCTCTTTGTGGGACCGGCAACAGGCCTTGTAGGTGAGCTCGTTCGAGCCAGAGTGACGACGAGACTCTGTCCATCCCATCCGTTGGTGGAGAGTCTATCTGAGCATTCAGTTAGCCGTCAATTCACGGCCATGCTCCGGTCTGACATACGGTATGTACGCCATGCTTCGTCTTCATTCTTCACAATAATTTGCCCCAAACCAGTGGGAAATCCGTGCTGGTCGTCGTATACGACTGCCTGTCGGATATGCAAGGCCGTCTGGCGGACCATGTCCTTGAGCTCTTGCCAGCGGCAGTGGGCTGGGATCTGTTCTCTCAGTAAGGCATGCCATCTGGCTCAGCTGGGGGAGTTTGATCGGTGCTTACACCCTGGAGAAATAGAACGAACTCTTCATCCGATGCTCGAGCTCGAGCTCGTCCTCTGTCGCGTGAAGGCATGATGATTGCTGCTCCGGGTACGGATCTGCGGTAATTGAACGTCCCCGATATCTCTTTCTTCAAATAGGAAAGTCAAGAAGAATTCCTGAATTCAGGTAACCTGCCACTCTATATGCAGCGAATCGCGGACAGTCAGGCTGGGTCACTGCCCGAAAAAGCAACGGTCTGGAACATTGGTGAGAGTCAGCATGGGTGTCTGACGTTCGATACTCAGCCAACAACTAATGAAGGATGAGCTAGGTAACCAGGAACGGTAATTCCTACCTAAAGGCCTGACTGGTCCTTTCACTTCGGGGGTACTGGTGGCAAAGTTGAACCTGATGGGTACCTGATGGCAGAGAACAAATGGGGTTGTGACAGGACACAACGCAAACCCCTGGCCTTTTCGACGATGAAAGAAAGGAATAGATGATTAAGAGGGAGAAAAAGAAGAAAATCAGGTCGTTTTATTCTCTGCAAGTTTCAAGGGAGATGATCGTACCCCGATATGAATCCAATGTTGAGAGAACGGCGATAGTAGTGACAATAGTAGACAGAAAGAGATCTGGCATCAACAGCCACAAGTTCGTCTACTCGTCTAGCGAGGAGTGAAGTTGGTGACTTGCCGATCCGAAGATGGGATGTATCAACTTCTTGTTGGAGGAAATCGAGTCTATCTGTTCTGCACAGAGGAATTAGTGGAGCGGTCCAGAGAGAAGACGATATGTCATGCATCGATCAACTATGACAGATCAGATAGAAGACACGGAGAACCATTCTCGAAACAAAGGAACTCTTTTCCTGAAGGTTTCTTCTGGTCCTAGATAATTTATTTGTTGTAGAAATAGCACCTAAGTTGTCTTACTCCGAATCTGATATGAAACCGAAGATGATCAAGTATGCTGGGAGCGACGCAGTAGTCGCTGTCACTCAGTCACTGTATATCTACGACGAGGACACAGCGCTTAGCGTCTTCAGGTTACACCGCCAGATCTGGAGGAACAGACAAGAATGGCTACTGGTTAGAGAAGACGAGGCGGTCCGTCACCTGCATTTCGTTTGATTGATTCAGTAGGAGATGGTTGAGGATGGGCAGGTATTGTTAACAGGTTTGGGTGCCAGTCCATCTGCTTCGATGAGTATCCCTAGACCCAAGGCGAAGAGATGACGGTGTTGATGCATTTTACAGACGAGAAATCCTTCAGAGATCCAAATCTGTGTGTGCGGGCTCTCCAAAAATAGGCATGGTCACTATAGCCTTGTCAGCCATGACCGAGAACGAATGATGCGTCGAATAAGCATGTATTAATTGGCATTGACAATGAACTGTCTGACCACCGAGGAAATGCTCTCGAGCCATCCCTTGATTCGGTCCAATTCAGTCATTCGGAGAATCCGTCCATCATTCGAGGCCCTTCCGAGATCTGTCAGGGATCACCCTTGGACTGCCTTGGTGCATATGAGCTATCAACCACCGCCTCGCCAGAGTCACCGCTACAATTTCTTCGCTTTTTCCAGTCCGTCATTCGTCCACATCCGACAGGTAAAAGAATGTCGCACAACACACAGAGACGCCTTATACAGACAGAGAAATAAAGAAAGCGGCTCATAGCAGAGCGGGAGTTGAAGGAGAATGGGAAACAGGCCCCCTCCCTCCCCAGGAGAAAAGAACTGACTAAGACTAGGGGGCCTGAAGACGCACAGGATGCAAGTATGTCAATGGCTCAGCTAAGATAACGATGCCTGACTCATCCGGGTCCTGGATTCCAAATCCTGATGTCTTCCGCGAGAGTTTTCATTGACATGGTGGATATTTTAGCTTGCTTGCAACGTTCGACAGTCTGACGGGAATGGAATAGGAACGACTTAACCTTTCAATGACATGAGCTTATTGTCCTTGTCATGATATCATACTTATGATTAAGAAATAAGTTCTCTGCAGATTGTGCCTTGTTCCTGGTGCTCAAACTGCCGCCTTTGAGCCTCTGAGCATGTACAACCCTTTTAGTCATTCAGAGTCTCAAGAGATTGACTACTATCATTTGTGCTGTGCACTAGTAGATAGGAATATGATCTTTAACATTTACATTAAGGCTGCGGAGATCCTCCATATATTACAGTTACTCGTGAACATAAAATACAATAGTTTATGCAGATCGATCAATAAACTCTCCCTGCTGCTGGACCAATATTTCCCTGGATAATTGCTCCACCCCTTGAGATTGGCTGCGAAAATTATTTTGCCAACTCTAGTCACTGAGGGTCTTCCTTCTCGATCCTCTTTATGATAGATAGTTCGCAATGCAACGCGATCTGAAACCACCATTAAGTCAAGACACTATTGATGATCATTATGACAAGTGGACTTCGCATATCGCTGCAAGCGATACTCGCCGCACAATCGAGGCTTTGCAGCTAATCACGATCTGGAAATGGTATGTTCCTGGGATCTTCCAGAAAGTCCTGCTGCTGTTCCCTCGTCATCCACCACAAGAACAATGGAGTGACCCACTCGAACAGCCTGGAAAAGACAGCGCCCATGTCATGAGCGGGCATCCAGCCTCTAACGGCGGCCTGGTGGGCAGCTTCCACTTTCTTTCGCTGAATGTCTTCGAAGAAGCGGAAGCCGGCCTTGGGGTCGTCGATCCCGTACCGCCGGAGTACCTCGGCGAATTTGATCGCATCTTCCAGAGCATGTCCGATGCTCTCGCCTTTTGGAGGCATCTGGTCAGAGTGCGTCAGTATGACACGTTTTCTAGGTGGGATAGAGATATCCTTTACGAACCGCATGGGCAGCGTCTCCCAGAAGTAGCACCCGATCTGTGGTCCATTTCCCGTTAGGAGGGAGAAGGTAGATCGGATAAAACGTCCAGTCCTCCACAGCCTCGATGAATTTCTCAGTGTCAGGAATGGCCGACTGCTGCGTGATTCTCTTCCCTTCCTTGCGGACCATCTCGTGGTCCTTCTCCAGCAACTTCCACCCTTCGCGGGACCCTTGCTCCTCCGTCCGCATCAGCACAACCACGTAGACGAGCTCCCGAGCATGGTCGCAGAAGGTCGTCATCACAGACCCATACCGCGACATTAGCAGCGCTGTATCCTTGAAAAACGGCCTGCCGTTCTCCCCGAGCACAGCCTTCGCCTCAGCAAAACCATACGCCGCCGCAACCCCAGAATACGAGGGCTTCCGGTCCGGCTGCACATGCACCCCTCGGACAGCGGAATGGATCCCATCGCAGCCCAGCACCATATCCCCCACGGCGCTCGTGCCGTCTTCAAAGTAGACACTCACCGCAGTCGCACCGGGGAGCTCCTCAACCCTCACCAGCTTCTTGCCGTACTCGAGCTTCACGGCGGGTAACCGCGCAATCACCCGCAGCATCGCCTGCAGGAGCTCATACCGCATCACCCGCCAGCCCTTGTGCCCGCCGAACCCGATCCCCTCGGGACCAGTATAGTCGATCGCCCCGATCTCCTTGCCCGTCCGCAGTGAGAGAACCTGGATGGCGTCGACCTCGCAGCCGGCCTTCGCCTGCTCTAGCTCGTCCAAGATGCCAAGCATGTCCAGGCAGCGGAGGGCCTTGGGGGTGAGGTTTACCGGCCCACCGAGGGTGCTGGGGACGCTGCGGAGCTCGTAGACTGTGATGGTTAGGGTAGTCTGTGACGGGGGGAGGGCGAGGGCCTTTGAGATGGCGATGGCGGAGGCAAGGCCGCACATGCCACCGCCGATGACGATGATGTGTTTTCCCATTGCGCGTACTCCGTACTCTGTATTCATTCACGCATTCATATTATTTCCGCGCGGTACATGAATCATAACCATGTCAAGGAAACAGGCCTGGCATGTCTTTATACTTTGACCCGAAAAAGCGGTTAGTATCTTGCAGGAATAGGAATGCGAATACGAGGACCAAAGAACGTTGCCACGCCACAGCCGTTTACTCGTCCGTTTGTCTTTGCTGTGGCGCATCATCCCAGTACGAGGAGCTGAACTGCTGAAATCTGTCTGGATAATGTGCACGACAACGTTTCCAAGAATAGATAGATCGCAAGCTTGGTTGAGCTAGTAAACTCTCGATATAATCACCAACGTGGTTCGAACAGCCGATCCAGAGTCGAATCAAACCGTCGTCCGTCATTTGTCTAAATCTCACTCAACTGAAGATGCAGTGCGAACTTGCGACTCGACATGGCTACACCATCCACGGGGTAACTACAGGTTCATAAACCCGTAGAGCTCAGACCCGCTGATCAGCGCCGTTATCCTAATCAGCAATCAATAGCTCAATCTTCACCCCACGGGCCGCCACACGGACTGATGCCGGACCTAAAAGGGGTTCCCTCGTTCCCTCTGCCTGTGTCTTGCCTGGGATTTAAGTAGTATCCTAGGCAGAAGCATGAGTCACTAGGGAAGAAAGACGATAAAACAAGAACGGTAAATGCTCAGACGGCGCGGGGAAAGAATTGCTACTGTGCGACGCAAAAGTTTGAAACACGGGTCACGGGGATCGACAGCAAGGGGGAGGGGTAGCTGGAGATAAGCCCCCTCTGCGGAGTATCCCTCATCTAACTAGGGAGGTAGACTACTCCATACAGACTTACTCTGCAGTTTGGAATGGAATGAGGGGTGCCTGGAGACTCTGCACGGCATGTTGCACGGAGTTTCTACTGTATTTCTCCCCTCGTCCTGATGCCATTCGTTCCCCGCTTGTAATGTGAGGGGCAAGAACTTTGTGCGGACTGCTTGAAGAGGCGCGTTGTTCTGACGGCTGCGGGTCAGCTCCAACCAGGAGTTTGGAATGAGGAGTATCAATTGACACTGAATGATCTTCGGTTCTTGTTTTGCGTGATGATTGGTGCTGTCTCTGAAAGCTGAGGATACACATTATGATAGACATGATGGGCATGGCGCTATTTAGGCTGGGGAACTGATGGATTTATCTACTTGTATGCTTATTGGTGGCTGGTTTCATCACTAGCTAGAGTAACCTTCTTAATGAAACACAGAGGAGAATAAAATG